ATACACAACTAAGTTGAATCTCATTGTCTGTTTACACATCTGGAGAATTAAGAGAGCACGACATCCTCTGCCGACTGTTTTTACAAGTACAGTGAGCTCTTCGCATGATTTCCACGAAGCTGTTCCCAACACTGTACAAGTATTCCCAGGGATGGCAGACCAAGGGTCAGAACTCCATTCAGCTGTGATGTTAAGACCCTCCTCTCATGGGCAAAATAAAAGTCTGAGAGCTGAACTTGGCCAGGCTTCTGATATAGGAGCAGCATTAGAGCTTTATTGCTTCTTTGAGCTCCAGCAAATAAAGCAAACACCAACAAACACAGGCTGCTGTCCCTGGTCCTTCTTGCCGGAGGTGAGTGTGATTACAGTCACCATGGGGGACGTGAGCTAAGCACAAGCATCGCTGGAATTGGCAGCTCGCAGCGCCCTTAAATATCAGAGAGGCATACCGAGGCGAGGCTGGGATCCAGATGTGCTGATTACTAACTTTGCTTGAGTTGTGGTGTGAGACATATATGCTCATCTGGCCAAGTTCCTTGTTTGAAGGTGAAAGGTCACTGACAAAAGCTAACACAATATGTCTGTTCCCAGCAGCAGCGTTCTTCCCTTTCCATTTTAGAATGACTTTGATGTTGCTCTGAGTTTTTACAAGACCAGTCTTGGATGTGGGGGTGGAAGGGTAGTATTAATTTGCAGACTTCATAGGCTTTATTGGCCTGCTGCTGGCCACACTGAGAAGCGCCATTGGGAGGTCAGAGATGACTCAGAACTGGAGTTCGGGCTGAGGCCATTACTGTCATCGTTAAGGGAATAACTCAGAACCAAAGGAGCAAGCATTCTTACGCCCAGGTCTAAAGTAATAACACAGGCAACCGCAGTCTGATTTTGACCCAAAGGCAGATGCTCTCCCCAGACATGAAGTTTACTATTTATAAGATATATACAGAAGTTGTGGGTGGTAAAACAAAATATACTTGATTTGTTAACCCGTTGTTTCCCAAGTGCTTGTGATAGTGAGATGCTAAGCTGAGAAATAAATGGTTTTGGAACAAGAAGTTTGTTTTTGCAAACACGAAGAAATATATCCTAACAAGGAAGGTAAAGATAATGGAAGTCTGACTGTAATGCGTTGATTCCCTGTAAAATAATCCTGCAATTGTCGACTGGGTGACAGTCTGAGTCACTCAGCCAATGGGACAGGACAGTGAAGGAGTCGTCACGCCGACACAGAGCAAGGAAGAGTGTGGCAGGCATCAGAAACAGAGACGGAGATAGTATCACCACTAGGAGAGCGGATGTGGGATGAATCCTGAAGAAGGTGGTGGTTTGAGAAGTGATTACAGAATTATCCATCTCATCATCCCCTTTGTCATGAGTGGTCTATTTAGAGAGTGTGGAGAAGATAAAAAAGCAGGTCCCAGCATGGGATCTGAGAGCCACAGGACATTCCGTGACCACTGACTGAATGTGATTTGCTAGGAGAAATGAGAGCCGTGGGAGCGGCTATGCCTGGGGAGACCTCCAGCTATGTACACCGTCGACAGGCACAGACCTCATTTCATTGTTTCAAATAGAAGAAAATGAGGTTTGTTATGCGTGTACTCATACTAGGGTGAGTGAAAACGTTTGGTTCATGGATGAAGCTCAAAATCGAGACTGGGTCCTAAAATAGAGGCTGCTTTTTAATTTCTTACCTAGTTATGTCCCACCTGCAGTGACTGTTAGGAATGTTTCATACATTGAAGAAGGATGCTTAAAAGAAATCCCACGCTAGCTCAGAATTGAGGATAATAGATGGTTATTTATTTGGGGGTAGATTCACAAATCAATATCCTCTGATGGAATGGAGAACGGCAGACGAATCCCACAGCGGGGGGGAGGGGAAGAGGCCAGACACATGCTTTTCATCTGCATAAATTATATAAGAGGCCACGCCCCAGTGGGTGGGTAACTTAAAGGCTACTGGCTGTAGGAGTTCCTACTGCAATGCACTGGGGGTTTTAAGCTAAATTACCACCAGTGACTACATAGCTATGTAAAGAACATGGCCTTCTATCTCAGAGTATGTTTCATTTACTAAATGTAACATGAAGACAACCCAGGAAATACTATTACTCAGTATATACTTTTTTAGTATTTGTATCAATTTCTATGGAGAAAAATAATTACAGATAATGTGAGATCATCAGTCATGTATCAAATGAGCTTGTGTGGGCCTGTTTTGCCCTGGTCATTGTGCACATCATGGGAATATAATTCATGAATCATATATTTGCTCTGGTGGGTGGGAGACATGGTTTCTATAATATTCTTTATAAGTAACTGTGACATTTCTAAGGGCATGTTTGTGCTTTGTTCATTTTTGTGTCTCCCCCCAAGTATCTAGCTTCATGGTCTTGACAGATGGCTTGTCCCAGAAGCCTTTATTGACTGAAGGCTGGGTGACATATTTATCAGCAAAGTGATTACCCAGGAAAATGTGTTCTCTTATAGACATTTGTTTGATAACTCTTCACTTATTTGATGTGGGATTTTGCTCTGTGTGCTGTGATTGCCATTAATGAATAAAGAAACTGCTTTGGACTTATAGCAGGACAGAACTTAGCTAGGCAGGGAAAGTAGAGGGGAACTAAACTGAATGCTGGGAGAAAGGAGGTGGAGTCAGAGAGAAGCCATGTAGCCTGCAGGAGACTGATGCTGGGAAATTTACTGGTAAGCCACAGCCACGTGGCGATTCACAAATTAATGGAGATGAGTCAAATTAATATGTAAGAGTTAGCCAATAAGAAGCTATAGCTAATGGGCAAGGCAGTGATTTAATTAATATAGTTTCTGTGTGATTATTTAGGGGCTAAGTGTCCGGGAGCCAACAAGCGACCTCCTCCTACACTTATTTCCACTAACAAGATCATATTGCATAGTTAGGCAGCAAACCAAACTTCAGATATAAAAGCCCATCTTTTTATTGCCATAAGGAAACTAAAACAGATTCCTAAGAATGAATTCTGGAAGTGTTTTGATTCCCGACTTTACCTTAGTAACTGCTGTTACACAAGAGGGCTGTGCAAACAAGATCTCGAATAAGTTATGTGAATTACCTACCTTTATCAGCCTGAAGGGAGTTCCAACTTTTGGAGTGGGTCAGCCCATGTGTGATTCTGACTCTTACCACTTAACCTCTCCAAGTCCTGGGTCCTTGCTTGAAGTGAGAACAGTGGTGTTTCCCTCCTGTGATTATGACTGTGATGGAGATCAATTTAGAGCAGCCAGATGTTCCAAGCCTGGGAAGAGCCTTGGGGATGCCATAGAAGGTCTGTGACTTCACAGATACCCGCATAAGGCCACTAGTCTACCATGAATGCCTGCGCATTGCCCTTTTCCAAATGCACACGGACTCATTAATTTTGCCACTATTTATTGAACGCTAACAGCATCAGGCAGTAAGGAAAAGAATATGCACAGCAGATGCTTATGTCAATGTTCGGGCAGTTTCAAGGGTGGGAGCAGGCACAATGGTGTAAGGTGATGAGTAGGTAAGTTTGTTGAGGAAGAATAAGGATTAAGAGGGAAAGAAAGGATCCCAAAGAAGGAAACAGGACCAATAAAAATTTTAGTTAGTGGCCAGAAAAGACATTGCTTGGGTGGTCTCACTTAAAGAAATGAGGCTCAAGCCAAAGCATTCAGGGTAGAGAGAGATGGGAGCACAAAGGCCCTGGGGCATACAGGGAGCAGGCTGGTCCCCAGTAGGCCTGGGAAGGATGGAGTAAGAAGGTACCTTGGGGGTGGGACTGGTGGAAGACGTGGATCACATTAGCTTTTATACCGGTGCAGACACAGAAGGAGTCAAGCAGAGGAAGAGCATGGCCTGGCTTGCATCTTAGCTGTACTACTGTCCAGAGAATTAAAGTGGCTGGGGCTGAATGGCCAAAGGTCAGTGTAGAGGCTGCAGCAGTAACCTAGGCTGCAGATAGTGTGACCTGGAATAGGGCAAGGACACAGACGTGGAAGGAGACACTGTCTTCCAGCTGTATTTGATGGGCTAGCTAGGATTGCTAAGTCTAGTTGATGGACTGTAAGGAGAGCAAGGGAAAGAAATACCAAGACTGTCACTGAGCTGTTTGACCTGCACATCCAGAACAAAGTTAACACGAATTGCAAGGGAGGTTGCAGAAAGGCTCAGGGTTGGGGGCTTCATTCTGAACATATGGAGTTTACAGGTGGATAAACAACTGGAGAAGCCATGAAGGCAACTCTGGGTGGAATCAATCAAAGCTGTGCTTTCAAATATTGCTTAGCAGGCCAGTGAGGTAGGCTCAGCGGGGGGAAAATAGTGCTTCCAACCAAGCCTGATGACTAAGTTTCATCCCTAGGACCCATGGGGCGAAAGGAGAGACTTGACTCTTGCAAATTGTCCTCTGACTCATCTCCACCCACAAATAAATTATATGTAATAGAAAGTTTAAGACTGTATAACTGAACCAACAGTAGCACTTTCTGAGAGAGCTCGAAAGTTGAAGTGCTGCGTTTGTTAGAAGAAATATGGTTCATACAATAAGCTGCCTTGAAAAAGGAGCCTGTGCTATAAAAGGCTGGCTATAAGAGTAATATGTGACCAATATTACTTTGTTTGCCTCTTCTCCTGTTCCTTTAATACATGCTTATTGCAAATTTGGCTTTATTATGCAGATTTTTAAGTCTTAGGTTTAGACTTGATAATTTTTTTCCCCTTTCGTTTAGTCAATGTTGGACTAGAAGGCCCTGGGAAGAGACACCCAGTGGGTGGTAGGATTGTATCCAGTGCTCTAGGGCTTTTTGTTTTGGAAGGACATTAGACTGTCCCATGATAACGTGGTATTTATGGGTTTTTCAAGTCACTCGGGGTCACACGATGTGAGAACAGACGTAAGACGCATGAGTAGAGCCCTCTGTTACTGTAGAGCCTTCAAAGTGAGTGGAAGAAATGGATGGGAGTGATTGTCAATTAGCTTCAGCCCAGGCAGACGTGTGTGGATCAATTGGGGACTGTCATTGCAACACCTGTGCTTCTCAGTCTTACGCAGGGAAATATGTGCCAGCAATAGCGCACTATATCCACACCCTCAACCCCTCGAAGGACTTCAAGATCCAACTGGAAGGAATCGCCATTGGAGACGCATACTCTGATCCTGAATCGGTTGGTGGCTTTCTCTGTCTCAATCTGCCCCTTGCAGAGACTAACTCCTGTGTTGAATAATGTCTGAGGTCTAACTTGTTAAAAGACAATGTTAACGTAGCTCAAATCTAATTCTTAACTAGACTTTTCAGTATGCCGTCTTACCATTTCAGCCTCCTATGCACAATACCAGATCGTACGATCGTACGTATATGAATATTGTGCTGTATGTGTGGCTTTTCTGTTGTATATGTCTGTGTGCATAGTTGTCTGGTTTGACTCATTCCAGCCAAAATTAAATAGATCATTGCAAAAATGTTCCTTTTTCTTGAAGCAAGGGGTGTCCCAACCTTCTGTCTCTGGTGGTCATGTGTGTCACTTCTGTCCCCAGATTATAGAAGGGTATGCAACATTCCTGTACCAAATCGGCCTGCTGGACGAGGAGCAGCAAAAGTACTTCCAGAAGCAGTGCAGCAAGTGCATACAGTACATCAAAGAGCAGGAGTGGCTGAAGGCCTTTGAAGTGAGTTCTGGGGCCCCCAGGCTGCCCTTGAGCAATTAAAACCATCTGAGGAGAGGAGGGGTCAGGAGGCACACCACGCTGTTCCAGCTCTCGGGATAGTATCTACCCCCTCTGCTGAGGGTCAGGAGGGGAGATGGGTGGGCATGAAGAAAAGCCCGCCCTGCCTTCCTCTGAATTTGCTTTGGCTGTGTTTTTAACCTGAGACCATCCATCCTGGCATGCCTCTTTGTGCCTTTCATTGGCTGTTCTGAATTCCTTAAATGCTGCATGGAACCTGAAGGTCTTCTGTAGCATATGGAAATCAGAACCTAGGTGACCTGGGGAAGTGGATGCCCGAGCTTCAGCAGATGCTTGGAAACATTCAGGAGGGTTATGTCCACAAGCAGGGCCTCTGCTGGAGAAGTGACCTGGTGTGTAACCCAAGTCACATGACCACAAGAGCCAGGATCAAAGACTACAAAATGTAGTGTAAGGGGAGACATCTTGCAACAGAAATTGTGTGTGTGTGTGTGTGTGTGTGTGTGTGTGTGTGTCTGTGTGTGAATATTGCTACACAGTTAACCTAACGGTTGAACACAAGACTGGTGATATGATTCGAGCCTTTACCCTCTTGTTTTTCTTTGGATTTTGGTTGTTTAAGGTGCAAGGTTACACTTGATTCTGAGATACAGGAACTTGCATCTTTTAGTCAATGCAAAGGCAAAGTCAACAATCTTCCTCTGGCACTTTCGCTACACATCTCTAGGGACCATCCTGTCAGACACGCTGGGAAGTAGATTTCAAAAGCCCGGACTAAACTAGCTGCGTTACTGGTCTGATGGCAAGTGATTTTGTTTCTTGGTGAAGATAAAGCTATTGTTTTACTTTTTAATTTAAAAATTAGTGTGTGGCCGGGCGGTGGTGGCGCACGCCTTTAATCCCAGCGCTCAGGAGGCAGAGGCAGGCAGATCTCTGTGAGTTCGAGACCAGCCTGGTCTAGAAGAGCTAGTTCCAGGACAGGCTCCAAAGCCACAGAGAAACCCTGTCTCAAAAACAAAACAAAACAAAAAAAAAAAACCAAAAAAACAAAAAAAAACCCAAAAATTAGTGTGTGCATGCACACGCTCATATTTATGTGTTTATGTCTGCACATGTGCCCGTTTGTGTGTGTTTGTGTGTGTTTGTGTATGCTCATGTGGAGACCAGAAGCTGATGTCAGATGTGTTCATTCTCCGCTTTGCATTTTGAGGTAGGGTTATTCACTTGCTGGGGAACCCAGGAATCTCTCTGTTTCCATCACCCAAACCCTGACATTATTAGTGAACACCGTTACTCCAGGGCGCATACATGGGAACTGAAGATTGAACCTGGGTCCTCATGCTTGGGGGCAAGCCCCTTACCAACTAACCTACCACCCTAGTCCCAGCAAACTGACTCTACTTATTCCTATTACTACTAACCTACCACCCTAGTCCCAGCAAACTGACTCTACTTATTCCTACTACAAAACAAAACAACAACAACAAAACAAAAAAACAGAAAAACAACCAAGTAAATAAACAACCAAAGGACCGTCAGAGCCATCACCCACAGTCTGAGCTGAAATACCTTTATTCAGTTGCCCCATCCTAGCTCTCCAGCCCACTTATGTTAATGAGCTGGCTGTAGCAATTGTCCAGTTCCAGTCCCTTTCAGCCCATTTAGCCACCACCTCTTTGTGAGCCCTAAACCCTAAGTCTTCATTTTTCTGACTGCCCAACCTAAACCCAGGCCTATCCACACATTCCAGCCACCAACCTCCACTAGTGCTTCCTTCAACTTCTTTGACTAAGCCACAACCCTGGTTTTATTCCTTCTTTGCCACCTCCATGCTGGCTCTTGTTCAGCAGCCAATGGCTGCAGAAAAAACAACAGCCACGGTGACCACCCTTCCCAGTTGGTGATGGAAATCGGGAGTCTATGGGTGCCCTCTGCCAGCTCCAAGACCCTGAGTCTCAGCCCACATCTCATGCCACCTCTGTTCATACTATGGGCGAGTGTTCCAGGGACCACGTGGAGGCAACTCCTCTCACTAGGCAAACTCCCAAGCTGAAGCATCTGGTTTCACTGTCTTCTGCCTAAAATATTCTTTCCCTGGTTGTCTATATTCCTGGCTTTCTCCGAGCCAATGGGTCATAATTGGAGTGTCATCTTCCAAGTGAAACTTCATTTTTCATTGTCCCTTACATGTAGGCACACACACCCATAATTCCTCCCGTTCTTCTCCTTACCATTCCCCAATGCATGTATGACTCCAACACATGACACATTTTGCCTTGGCATGCATATTTGTTTCCCTGGAATATAAATTTTATGAGGGATGGCATTTGCCTGTTACAACTGTTCAGGAAGTGAAATGAGAAAAGTTTTTAAATATAGGGGGTGGAGAGGTAGCTAAGTTGGCCGTGTTTGTCATGCAATCCCAAAGATGCAGAATCTGAGCCCCATAACCCATGTATAAACAAGAGTTTGGGCATGGTGGCATGAACTTGGACTGAGGAGGCCAATCTACCCTACTTGATTAGTCCTAGGTGGGTAAGAGACCCTGTCTCAAATAAAACAATGGACAGTTTCTGAGGAGTGATACCCAAGGCTATCCTTGGGCCTCCATATGTGGGTGCATGCATGCCTACATGCACACATATGTGCATATGCAAACTATGTATATGTAAACACATAAACACACACATATAGATACACACATCCTAAAAAATAAAATGAAAAATGCCCTGACTGCATGACACATCAAGGGCCGTGCTTGCTAACCCTCCCTGACACTGTCCTTCCCTTCTCTGTCTCTGACCTAGATCCTGGATAAGCTGCTGGATGGTGATTTAACAAACGATCTCTCCTACTTCCAGAATGTGACAGGATGCACCAATTACTACAACTTCTTAGAGTGCACGGTAATGACCACAAGTTAAAAAACATTAATGTCTGCTTAACACTTTGGGCAAAACCAAACTGCCTCGGATTGGAAAATAGAGCTCAATTTAAACTAGATGGCTATATCCAACATGTATTGTGTAATTTTATCCCTGAAGCCTTGGGGCTTGTTTCCCATTGTGCTTGTTAACGCACCATCCATAATGTGTGGAATTCTAGAGAGCTCAGAAGGGTGTCTCTTTAACTCAGTGTCCCTGCTAGACCTTGTTCCTGGGAGGAGGAGTTCTGGGAAAGATGCAGGCTGGGACTGAAGCCCTGGGTGCTGGGTCTAGGCTTCAGTCTATGAGTCTCTTGAAAACATCCAAGTTCTTTGTTCTGCACTTAAGATGGCTTAGGTAATCAACACTGCCAAGCCTCTCTGAAAATATTTGCCTTGCCTTACTTTTAACTTGAGGTGTTTTGAGCATCTAGGACAGCCCTCATTTCAAGGCCTCTGGAATATTTTTTTTAAAGTATTCAAGTCATTTCTTTCATAAAAACAGGCCAGAGTTGACATCTTTTGTGTAGCGTTAAATGAGTAAGAAAAGGAGAGCCTGCTTGGCAGTTTGGATGTGTGGTCTCTGTCTATTGCACAGGACAACACATTTGGTTTTTCAATTGCCTTATTTATGAGCCATTTGTAAGTAAAATTTGAAGTCCCTTTTGGTGGGATTCCCAGCCCTGTGGTTTTGGACAATAACAAAACATGGCAGGAAGCAGAGAAACAAACTTGTGATTACAATGTTTTTCTGCAGAAAGTCATATATTCACAGCCAAAACAAAACAAAATCAAAAAAATGCTGGCAAAGCACAGAATTGTTGAACATAAACCCTAAACGGTATTTTTGTAATCTGGAATGATTTTTAAAATAATGAATATTTGTTCCTTTTTCTTTAAACTTTAATAATTATTACAGAGACTTTAAGGGGGCTTTATTTTGTTTGCTTTTGCTTTTTAACAAGGGCTGTGGATAACTTGTTTTATGTCTTTATTAAGTATCAGTATTTTTGCATATGATATAATTCCCCCATAAATTATGAATAGTTGATTGTGGGGGAAAGAGGGATGAGACAGAGAGATCTTAATGAACAGCAGACAATGGCAAGTAAGCTGTGGCTTTAACCCATCTTGTTGCACCTGCTCAGTTAAAAACCACTTGACCATCAGCCCCAGAGCCGAGGTCAGGGAACGATTGCCTTACGTAGTCTTTTCTCTTTCCTTCATCCGCCATTCTTGCCAATGCGCTGACTAATTGGATGGCAAGGTTGCAAAGATTAATGGGAGAAAGAAAATCCTTTCCCCAGGCAAATTGGATATTGACTGCAAATGCAGGAGAGTCTGTGTTTGGCCTCAGTGAAGGGATTCCTCTTACCTGACTAGGTGTCCTATTAAAATGTCAAGCATGAGGTTGTGCTAACAGTTTAGTCGTGGTCTGTTTACTTCCTGTTTACTGTGCTGTGTGCTGTGAGCTAGTCTCAGCTTTTCCTGTAGCCCTGCCTGGCCTCCTCCTCCAGGACACCTTCTGATGTTTCTTCTGCCAGGACCCTGAGGAACAAAGCTACTATGGGAAATTCTTGTCACTCCCACACGTGAGAGAAGCCATCCATGTGGGAAACCGGACTTTCAGTGACGGTGCTGATGTCGAGAAGTACTTGCGAGAGGACGCACTGCAGTCGGTGAAGCCCTGGCTAGCTGAGATCATGGATCACTACAAGGTAAGCAGGGGACCTGGGCTCAGGGAGGGGGTCCAGCCAAGAACTCCTGGGCCACTGTGAGCCAAGGGAACTTCTTTTTAGTTCCTATTTTACTTCTTCCGTTCAAAAACACATCATGTATTCTAGTTATAAAATAGAAATAACCTTTATTTTACTTCTCTGAATTGTCCTTTTCATTGTTTTTTTAAAACAAAATTCCCAGTGGCATGCACCAGCCCTTATACTTTGCCAGTTAAGGGAAATAAAGCCAAGAAGATGCCCAGCCTTGTCTGACGATCAGTTGTCCTTGTTTGCTCTATGATGTGAATGACAACTTCGTCATGGTTAATCCACAGCTGCGTCTTAAGAATTGCTCTCAGTGGCTTTGATCAGTGAATATTGTTCCTGTATCTGCCACAAGCGCAGTCCTGCTGGGCTGTTGCATTGGAGTGAGCAAAAACTCTGTTCTAAACAGAGCAAGGCAGGGATTGACTGCGTTTAGGGCTGACATATTCCAATTCGTTGGCCACAGGAAACCCCAGTGGAAGTCACAGAGAACCGCCTTTTGGTCCCCCACTAGGAGGAAGGATGCTAAAAGCAAGTGACCTGGCAAGAAGTCCCTTGTGTTTTGTTCCTTTTCTAGTACCACTCTCTCACCACTGTCCCTGCATGCTAGGGATGGTCTCTAGGGCAACCCTGAAGGATGAGTACAGAGATGAGGATGGATTGTATTCACTGAAGCTTCCTCCTTCTATCTGAAAGAGGCAAGAAAGAGACCCAAAATGAACCAAAGCCAAGCAGCCAGTGGTCCATAAGGCACCTTGTGTGAATTAGACAAATAAGTTCTGTCTTCAAAGTATTTAATCTTCATTTTTCATAAATGGTCCACATTCTGCTTCAGGAGACTCACAGCCTTTACTGCTCCTTTCCAGCATGGGGAACATTCGCTTCTATGATGTCTGTGAGGGAATGGTCCTTAGGATTCTCGGTGTACTGTGTGCACTCTGGTGCAGGAAGCTTCTAAATGCGTGCATACTTACCAGCTTGTGTTTCAGAATATTCCCACCTGGAAGGTTCGCCTTTTCTGGTCCTTCCCCTAGCACATGGGGTTTAACATTTGTGTAATGTCTACTAGCCATCAGAACATAATGAAACTCTACACTCTAGGGATGAAGGGACCACACTGGATCAGGCCTGCATTTCAACTATCCTTGCTTTCAGCTCTGCTGAGAAAATATGATACTTGTCTCTTCTTAGTCTATTCTCTCCAAGTGATTTCCCCTTGGGTGAGCTTTCTAACAAGCTGCTGCCATTCTGGATCTTGTTCTGACACCTATGCAGGTGCAGATCTGACGTACATGTCCATGACTAAGGAATGAATAAAAGAAATCTTAGTAGCCGGATGGTGGTGGCGCACGCCTTTAATCCCAACACTTGGGAGACAGAGGCAGGCGGATCTCTGTGAGTTTGAGGTCAGCCTGGTCTACAAGAGCTAGTTCCAGGACAGGCTCCAAAGCCACAGAGAAACCCTGTCTCAAAAAACCAAAAAAAGAGAAACCTTAGCTATGTCAAAAATATACTCAGAAAGCCTGTCACAACTAACTAGTTACTTATTGTCTTTAAATTTATTAAACCAAAAAGCACTTAACACTTGTCTTTGAAGACATAAAAAGTTAGAGATACCATAAAAATATCCAAAGTGGTTCTGTTGAAAAGAATTACCAATGTTGTTCTTTATTATTTTGGTCCTGGGATGGACAGAGATACATCTACACACACACACACACACACACACACACACACACACACACACACACACACCTGGATTTGGGTCCTTTCTCAAGCACATGAGGTTAGGATGGAGCCTACAGAATTCCTGGGGGGTATAATGCTCCAAACGTTGCCCAGTCGTCTCAAGCTGATCCCCGGATGATAAAGGGACTAAGTACCCCTGACTAGAGCACATTTGGATATTTTAGCATCTCCCCTTCTTACCCCTATAACTCAAATCGCCTGTCTCGAATCTCCCTGGATGCCATGACAAAACACTTGACTGGAGAATTTCCATTCTACAAAAGCCGCCTGCTCACAGTGCCAGACACTGCTGTCTGCTGGGAGTGCTGGGGCTCGAGTATGAGTCAGCCTCCTGCCCCCTTCTTGCTGGGTCCTCCCTGGCTGGAATTCCTTTATAGGGTTTAATCTCATCCTCAAGAGCTCCACTCTCATGATTCAGTTCCTTTCCAAGTCCCCACATTGGAGATTAGCTATCAGCATATGAATTTGGAGGGAAAGACAGAAATATTCAGACACTACCACCTACAAGTGTGAACGTCAATGAAATACGAATGTTCTCTGTATGTTTCAAGCATTAGTTTCCAGCAAAAGAAAATAGCTTAGCGGGGCAGATAATGCGTGATGCCATGAAGAAAGAATGAACTGTGCAGTCAGTCTGAGCTTCAGCTAGACAGGGCGGCCGTGGAACAGACCGTGCATTCAGGAGACAGCTGGCAGCACCCTCCTGGCAGTGATTGCTGTTGGCTCGTCCGCGATTGATGGCGAACCTCAATGTGTATATAACAGAACCAGAACAACATAGATTGGCTTAAGACGTTAGTGTCCTTAAAGTTATATTTACTTAAGACTCAGCTCTAATTTGTCATAGAAGGCAGCGAGCCCGTTTCCACTCATATGAACACGGGAGACTTTCCCCAGTATTGTCTTCACTTCAGTCAGTGTCTGGCTGAATGAGGAAGACCTTCAGGAGTATCTGTGCTGGGGTTTTTCTTGTTTGTGTCTCTATGTGAACCTCAGCTTCCACGTAAACCAATGAGAGCACAGCCCTGTTTTTGGAATGACTGGTGGGAGATGCAGATGCCACGACTTTGGCTGACGGAATGGTAAACAGAGATACAGACAGCTAGAATAATCTGTTGGATGATCTAAATCTCCTTCTGATTAAATCAGGTCAGAATGTCATGAGGATGTTTAGGGATCATGTAGTAAAAGAGCATAGTGGTCTAGATAGAGCACACACTGCAGGGTCAGCTAGGACAGAGTGAAGTCCCCTTGGAGTGGCTGTTTAACTCTGCGACTCAGTTTCTTTGTTAGAAAATGGGTGGGAAAAAGTGTGAGCTTTCCTAGTGCATATATTTACAACAGTCCCTGGTGGGCAAAGGTGTTGAAAACCATAGTCGCTTACCAAGAACTTTTAGCCAAATTATCTAAGAGCCCACTGTACCTAAGAGTGAAGAAGTGATATAAGCGGGTAACACCCCATCATGCAGGTGTAGGTGTGAGAACCTGAGAACGCATCTTCAGAACCCACTTCTGTGTAGTCCCAGTTTTCCCGTAGCAAGATGGGATTTGAGGGGTAGAAGGATTCCCAGAATCTGGTGTATCGGCTAGGCTGGAGTCTGCAGCAGCAAGCCAGAGACCCGGCCTCAAAACAGATGGAGGTCAAGGGTTAACCTTGAGGCTATTGTTTCACCTCCACATGTACACACACACATGCACACACACACGCATGCACACACACATACACACATGCTTGCACACACACATGTACATACACACGCACGCACACACCCACATGCACATACACACATGCCTGCACACATGCACACAGACCACAGACTTACACAAGACCCCCCCCCCCATACAAAAGCAGAAAAGGTCTCACAGAGACCCACTTCCTTGTTAGAACTTGAGGAGTTTAGAGATCACCATGCCATCCCTACAGGGTAAAAGCTCTTCTCAAAACTTTGAAGAGAAATGAGGTGACAGAGAAATCCATTGTACTCCAAATTGAAGGCAAATAAAGAGAGTCATTCCTCCCTGTCTGGAACACAACCCCAGGAAGAGGAATCTCTGTAGAAGGAGGGCCTCAGTAGGAAATGGAGCCGTGATTGGCACATGGCTGGAGGCCAGCGCAAGGAGTATAGAAGTCAAAACACTGGGGACCCAGCTAAGCCGGGCTGGGCTGGACATGTTTGTGAATTTTACTTTCAGGAGTTCATCCAAGCTCCCCAGTGACTATTGGGGGCAGGGGAGATCCTTGGCATTTATGATGTCAGAGGAGGGGTTGGGGAAACATTGCGAAACCTGCCCAAGTGCTGTGCTCTTAACAAGATCTACTCAGGAAAGCAACTATTTTCCCAGCACTAAGTCTATTGGAGTTCAATTGTAGACTACCAGTGCTTCTTCTTGACTTAAAATGAGATTGTATTTCCTGTCCCCTGCAAAAAACATGGCAGCTTAAGCATAGTTCTTATTGAAAATGCATTTAATACAACCTGTGCTCAGTCCAGCCTACCTTCAACCTTTTCATCCACTCATGCTAGAAAAGTCATCTAACACGACACCACTCTAACTAAAGATCCGCTGATTCATGCCTCTTATTGTTTAGTGGATATGAAATCACAAAATGCAATAACCAAAGCCATGGTCCTGTGGTGCACTGCTGGGTAGCTGTCGCCTCAGGAGCTGCATGGCTGGTTGGAAGTTGTAGCTTGCTGTCACTAGGGCACTGCAAGAGTACTGTAGTCCTTGGCAATGACCTGGGAAAAGAACACAATGCCAACATGGAAGAAAAGTTTCTGCAAATGAATATCACTTCCCCATCAGCAGAAAGTTGGAAAGGGCTAAATCGATCCATCCTAAGTGTGGAACCATCTATGCCCACCTGCAGCCCCCTCTAGCCATATTGTTCCACCAAGGAGTGGCAGGGGCAACCAGGACTATAAAGTTCACAGTCCATAAGCACAGGTTCCCAAGAGGTAGAGACTGTGATGCACTTCCTGTTCCCAGGGTCTTTGGGCAGCATTTGCTGTAGTTCTTTTTCCCAAGGACAGAGTGCCAACCCTTCAACAAAAACTTACAAGCAAAACAAAAGGCAACATGTGTAGTTTGAGGACACTAAATAGTCATGAGAACCAGAATGAGACATGGCAAGAACGACAACATTCCAAACCAGAAATTTCAAAATAAAACAGAACATACATGATTAGGACTTTTATAGACAA